ATATACACACACACTCCATCTCCTCCTGATGGGCACAGGGCAGGGCATCTGTCACCCCCAGCCCACTGGCTTACAAGGACTCTCCTGGGTGGCTGTCTCTCACCCCAGCCAGTGGACACATCAGGAAGGACCTAATGCCTCTACCCTCTCTCCATTTCAGAAGAGCGAATTGTGGTGATCAGCAGCTCAGAAGACTCAGATACCGAGAATCTGGTGAGTCACTCCTGCCTTCTCTCATTTAAGGTCCCAAAGGCTGAGCCACAGCAGGTGACTCTCAGGCTCATCTGGCGCCTGGGAAATTTGCCTTGAAATTTTCCAGCAAGGCAATAAAAGCTTAAACTGTATCAAGGATAGTCTGCAAGTACCTGCTGCATGCTTATTGCAGCCTAGCCTTCTTATGGCACCAAGCAAGAATTCCTATGAAATGCTTGCTAGACTGCTTCCTCCAGGACCTGGCTGTCCTCTGGAATACCCAAAGATCTTGTATATTTTCTATCTGTTAAATTCTCTCTGAGGAAAGCTGGACAAGAGTTCATTCCCTGGTTAATCAAAGAGCTGGGTGTAGTGGTGCACGCTTTTAATCCCAGCATTTGGGAGGCAGAGGCAGGTGGATCTCTGTGAGTTTGAGGCCAGCCTGGTCTACAGAGCGAGTTCCAGGACACCCAGGACTATGTAGGGAGATCCTGCCTGAAAAACAAAAAACAAACAAACAAACAAAACAACAATAACAAAATCAGTCCATGAAGGCTAGTGATGGAAAGATTGTGTCTATGGGTAACAAATAATGGACAGGAAATGTCTTATTTACTCTTCTGTGACACCATGACTAAGGTATCTTATAGTAGGAAGAGGTTATTGGGACTTTCAGAAGGCATCTCTGCCATCGTGGCAGAGAGCATGGCAGCAGGCAGGTATGGTGCTGGAGCAACAGTTGAGAGCTCACTTCTGCTCCACTAGAATAAGAGCTGCTAACTAGGAATGGCATAGGCTTTTGAAACCTCAAAGTCCATTCCCAGTGACAGACCTTCTCCAACAAGGCCACACCTCCTATCCTTCCCAAACAGTTCCACCGCCTGGGATCCAAGAATCCAAACATTTGAGCTTATGGGGAACATTCTCATTCAAACCACCACAAGAACTACATGCAAGAATTTACTTTGTCTTAGAAAATGTCTTTAAAGGTGTATTATAATGAAACCAGTGACTCTTCTGTACCTTGTGGTATGTTATTAGAGACAAGGCTGTTAAGTGTCCAGGGAAAAACAGGGCCTGAGTAGAGACAAAGATTAGATCAGGGTCCCCAAGGTTCTTTCCAGCCCACAGTCTGAGATCCCATTTTGGAAAATATACAAAGCCACTGAACACGACTGCAGCACCCTTTGCGCCAACCCACTCCTTCCTGCTGAGCACCCAAAGAGCCTCCCACCCACACTGGACCTCCCACTCCAACAGGGTCTGCAGTCTACCTCAAGGCGCCTCCCAGCCACCAGCTTGGTCTTCCCATCATCCCACTGAGCAAGCTGCCAGCCCTGACCTGAGTCTTCCGGCCAACCTACCACTTGCCAGAAGTTTGCTGCTGTCCTCTGTCAGATCTGCATTTTCTCATACAAAGCAAGGAAAGCCACCTGCCTTCATCACACCCTCGGTGACCTGTATCCCCCAGGGATATTGTGCCCTTACACAGGCCTCCTCTTGTAGCTCAGGCCACCACCCCTACCACCAAAGGGCATCCCGGGCATCCTGCTGATGCCTGCATATCATCAGTATGCTCTGATTGATGTGCAGAGCCTTCAGGGCTCTCCCAGGGCTCCCTTGATTTTCACCAGTGGCTTTGCAACTTACTTTTTCTCTCTTGCTCCTCCATGCCTTCTCAGACTAATGCTTCCTCCCTGGGTGGGGCACAGGTAGTCGGTTGTAGAAGGAGGCCGCTTGTTCGTTCCCGGCTGCCCAGACCACAAAATAATCACTCAGAAACTATATTAATTAAATCACTGGTTGGCCTATTAGCTCTAGCTTCTTATTGGCTAACCCTTACATCTTAATTTAACCCATTTGTATTAATCTGTGTATCGCCATATGGCTGTGGCTTACCAGCAAGGTTCTGTCCTGCGTCTGTCTCTGGTGGAGCTACATGGCTTCTCACTGACTCCCCCTTCTTTCTCCCAGCATTCAGTTTCTCTATCTAGCCCCATTCTACCCTATCATAGGACAAGGCAGAGTCTTTATTCATTAACCAATAAAAACAACACATACACAGAAGGACCTCCCACACCAGCCAGTCCCTTCAGAGATTCTAATAAAGTCCCTCTGGAGAATCCCCAAGTTCAAGGCCCACTTTGAAGTCTTTGGAATCTCATTACCACCACCCTACCCACCCAAGAGGCCTCATCCCTACCAGTCAGCCCTGAGCCCTCTATCAGATGGGCCCCTAAGAACCTGAGCTCTTTCCTCCTCTGTGGCTGCTTTCCACCCCACCTCACTGTCTGCAGTCTTGTGACCAGATATCCCTGCCCATGATGCAGAGACTCTATCCATCCCGAGACCTGCTGGTATGACTTGCTCAATAAATACTTGTTAAAAGATCTCCATTGTGAACCCTTATTCCACAGCCATCAGATCCTGTGTAGGATCTTCCCTGTGGGGGGCGTTTGTCTTCTCCCTGCCTGGAACCTGGTTCTTCTCTGGGGGAAGCCATGGCTGTCTTCCTCCCACACTTAGGAGCATCCAAAGTGAGAAGCAGGACAAGGCCTATACAGCCCACCTTCTGGTGGCTTTGAGGTCCAGTTTTTAGGATGGAGCTAGCTTTATCTCCCCAGTTCATCTCAGACCCCTGCTCACCTCCCCTCTCATGGAAGGAAGATAGGACCATCTGCCCCCTAGATTTCTTCTCCCCCTCATGCCTTGCTTTCTTCCTGGTTGATTTCAACACCCACCATCTGTCCAACACTCCTTGATGTCTGAAGGATCTTCAGCCTGCCACTTCAGCTGCCAAGCAGTGATATGACCATACTGTGTTCCTTGATACCATCTCTAAATGAACTGCTCTGACGACCACAGCCTCTTGTTCCTTGAGCCCTCAAAACTACCATCACCCCCTCCAGCTGAGGTGGAGACCTGCTGACAGAAACCTCAGGAAAATTCAGGGCCCTGTTGACTCTCTGCTGCCTCCTGTAGGCAAGCTGGAGAAAAGCATACAGGAAGGCAAAGAGCAAAGGGCTTCTGGTCACACTTGTCTACTCTCATTTGGCTCCCCAGGAACACATCTCTGGGCTTCATCCTGGTCCTCAACTCTTACCTCTTGACTGTACATTTCGCCCTGGGAGGAAACAGAAACCCTTTCGACTGTGGGAATCATGGGCATCTGCTACCTAATTACAGATCTGCCTGTTGCTATCCCTTCCCTTCTTCTACCCCTTCTGCCTGGAAGTCTGCCTGCCTGCCTCTAAGACCCCCACCTGTGTCTGGTCCAGCTAGCCCAGCCATGGCCCTGTGGGAAGCCTCACTGTCTCATGCTCATCTGCCTATCTCTTTTGATTCCTCCACTGTCTTCTTGCCAGTCGCCGCCCACTCCCTGCTTCTCCCTTGGCCTGTGCTTCACGCTGCTCATCTCACTTCCCGCATCTCCCACCCTGCCTACAAACCCTACCCATCGGTCCCAGGGAAGCTCCAGGCTTCTCTGCACAGTGATCCTAGATCGTCCATGCATTCTTGACTGTGTTGGCCTCTTCCCAGAAATCTGTCTTCTCTTTGCATCTCTTTGCTCCATTCCAAGTCTCCTTGCTCTCTGGCATTGTCTCTGGACCTTCTTTTCCCTATACTCTGTGCAGCCTGCTCTGAGTAGTTGTTACCCAGAGAGAGCTGATGCCCATGCCTGCTTCTGACTGCGAGACTAGCATGTCAGGCCCTTCTAGCTCGGCCTAGATGCCCCGTTTACACCTCACACGTTCTCTCTCTCCTCTCATGTCAGTCCTAGGCCTAGGCACGCAATGTGAGAGCCCTGAAGACCCCTTTTAAGTATGTCTCACCCCTGGCCAAAATGTGATCCTTGCCTTCTTATGGCTTATACTCTTCCAGTACCTGGACATTTCTTTCTAGCTCATCGCCTTTGATAAAGTTCAAGCGACTACTTGTGGATGGAGGGGGAAGCCCAGGAAGGAGCGGTAGAGAAAAGTGTTCCAGCAGTTTCCCTAAACATTGGGCAGGGTTCAGTTTAGGAGATGCCAGAAGCAGTGTAGCAGATAGGGAGAGGAAGAGGGGTCCCAACTCCACCATCTTTGGGGGTATCAGGGTCATCAAAGGAGGAGGGAGATACACATTTCAGGCTAGGAAGAGGTGACTAGCTAGAAAGCATTGCTCGCTGTGCAGAACAAGCCTGGGGAGCAGAAGAGAAGAGCCCACTGCTTTTGTGAGTCTACGGAAAAACGAACCATTACTAGGGCCCCTTGAGCATTTCATTCTCAACTCCAAGGACCCTCCCAAACCCCTGAGACACTATAGCATACCTCCCTATAAATCCTGACTCTGCAGCTTGGAGGGAGGGACAGTGCCCCAGGCTATCCAGCCGCATATCCTTGCTGTGGGGCCTTTGTTCTGCCTTGCAATGAGGGGTTATTCTATAGTATTGGCCTGCTCAGGGGCCACCTTTTCCTAGTGAAGCAGTGGAGGTAGGCCCCAGCTTGGTTTGCAGCTAGTTCTGTCTGAGGGGAGAGACTGAGCAAGGAGGAATCCATTGGAAGAGCTCGCCCTTACAGCAGGGTCACAGATTGGGAGCAGAACGCAAGTCCCGGTCTCTTGTACAGTCCATGGGATGAGAACTGTTGCTTAAGCCCTGGAAGGGTGGGTGAGCCCTGCACCTAGCCAGGGCCACTGTTTGAGGAGTCACAGTAGAAGAGATAGGTATTCTCAGCCATGTTTGTGACAGATGACCAGACACCTTGGTAGCAGAAGGACCAACTGGAAGGGGTTCAGCTAGGGGGCAGCCTGTGACAGATCTAGCAACAATGACTGACCGAGGAAGAGAGGTCAATGGGCAGCATCTGGTGCAGAGATGCAGTCACGATATCCATGAGGATGCATGTCAGAGAATGTGAGTCAGGCACTTGGCTGAGAAGGTGGAGCTGTTTGCCCAAGAGCAGAGCTGCCCGCAGAAGGGCTGGAGCAGCAGACAGAAGGGTCATAGCAGTCAATTAGATGGCCCGGTTTCCTAATATCTTTGTTGTGCCTCCAAGGCCTCATGGCTGCAAGAACTAGGAGTTTGTGTCTCTAATCCCCAGAGATGCATGTGTCTCGCTAAACTGAGGCTGGCTGTAGCTGAAGTTTGAGTGCTGAGAAAGGTTCTTCGGGAACACAGCTCTCACTGAGCACAGACGGAAGACACTAGATGGCTCCCTGAAGCAGAATGCTGGCCTCCCAAAGGATTTGGCTTGTGTCTGTTCAGTTGATGATCAAACACGGAATGAACCGCTATGTAGACCAAGGATTCTCAAGCCTGGGTTGTGCAGTGAGGAGTTGAAGCAATTGCAGATTGCTGGGTTCCACTCCTACAGATCCTAATTGAATTGTTCCCTGTGTAGCCTGGCCTTTCCAGAGCTTTTTATGCCACTTAAGGCCTGGCCGAAATCAAGCACCGCTGGTTTGGGGGATTCACTTGAGCATCTGGGTGAGAAGAATGTTCGCTTGTTTTAAGGAAAGTGACATTTACATCATGGGTGTGATACAGGAGGGACAAGAAAGGCCAGCTCTTGCCTCTTGTTGTGCCCTCCCTGTAGGCTCTCCTCTTTAGGCATGTCTTGCTTAAATGGTCCATTCCTGCCAGGCTGGCTTGGGATTTAAGAGGAGAGGTGAATAAGGAGTTTACAGCTGCATAACCTAAGTACATGGTGTTCCAGAGAGACCAGCCTCTGCCGTAGTGCATGACAGTTCTCAGAGATGGGGGAGGAAGGGCTGTGTCCAGTCTAAAAGAAAGACCCAGCCTTTTCTACAGTCTCAGCTCAGAGGAAGGGAAAGAGGCATCTTATTGAGACACCCACAGGTTCCCTCAGAGAAGGCCGATTTAGAAATGAGGCTTCCTGCTATGTGGTGTGAAGACGAAGGCGCTAACCAGAAGGTCCAGCTGTGTGGCACTCCAGGTATCCTGCTCTGGAAGACTGCCTTCAAGGCCTGAAGAGACATCGCCAGAAGGAGATGGAAGTCATTGTCAGGAGTCAGGTGGAAGCATCTGGGGCCACAAAGGGGCTTTTGAAACAGGGAAGATGAAGCCCGTGTGTCATGGCAGTGGTAGCAGAATCGACCGGGCTGGGGAGCCGGCTCTTCAACAGCTGGCGAGAGTGAACATTCCCCGACCAGAGAAGGACATAACCGCGGTGACTCAGCTCTTTCCCCCAGTCCACATGTGAGGATAGACACAGAAGCCCTGAGTAGAGGAAGACACTCGAAGCCGCAGACAGAAAATGACCAGATTCTTGTGTGGGGCACAGAGCTGAGTCTACTGCTCGTGCCTAGCAACTAGGAGGAGGCCTTCAGGAAGGTCTTCACAGGGAAGGCAAGCAATGTGGGGTCTCTGGGTGCAAGGAGACTGGGAAGAAGTTGGGGTGCCTGGCACAGGACTACAAAATGCATGTTGAGTGAAAAGCAACCTCCTATAGGAAAGCCCAGCTCTGGTTAGCTTCCTAGGGAGCAATACGACTTCTCTTGGCTGAAGATTTGTGGAAAGCAAGTGGTTTTGGAAGGCTGGGTGATAAACAGCATGGCCAAAAGCAACTTGTTCAGGAAAGGGTTTATTTCAAGCTACAGCTTGTGGTCTCTCATCCAGGGAAGTCAGGGCAGGAACTCAAGGCAGGAGCTGATGGAGAATCAATGGAGGAGTGCTGCTTATTGGCTTGCTCCTCTTGGCTTGCTCAGCGGCTTTCTTATACACCCCAGGACCACCTGCCTAGGGAGTGGCACCACCCACAGTGGGCTTTGCCATCTCATATCAATCACTAATTAAGAAAATGCCCTGCAGGTTGCCTAAGCACAGTCTTTTGGAGGTGTTTCCCCGATTGTAGTTCCCCCTTCTCAGGTAACACTAGCTTGTATCAAATTAACAAATAACAACAACAACCAGGACAGCAGTTATGCTAACTCTGTCTCAAGCCTGAGACATTAACTGGAGACCAGTTAACCAGTTAACTGGAGACCAGTGGACAGAGGCCTCAGCCTCAGGAGATAACTCCTTTGACTACCAGAGCAGTCTGCAAGAAGACAGACTCGGGGCCTTATGTGGTCTCTGTCCCTGCAGTTCCCCATCTGTCCCCACTGCCCTGTCTAATGTCCAAAAGTGGCATTTATAGGCCATTCAGCAGCTGTGCTGTTAAGTAACTTGGTGTATTATCCTCAGACATTCTAACCTGTCCGTAGCCTCAGCTCCTTGGGAAAATCTCAGCGGTAGAAAGAGCCCTTCCCTTCCCTGAGGCCTGGGACCTTTGAAATGGTGTTCCAGCCAGGGCAACCTTGATGCTGGAGAGCCGAGTCAGCCTGGGGTGGGTGCTAGAGCTCCAAGGCTCCTCTGTGCAGCTGAGGTATGGGTGTGGAGAGTTGAGGTCTCCAGGATCTGAGGCTCTGAGCTGCTCCCTCCCACATCCTCTCCCAGTCAGGGAACGTGTGTCTGTCCACCCAGATGCGGATTTCAAGAGGCCAATCATTCCTTTCCTCCTCTATACTGCAAGACACTGTGGGTCAGTGTGATTCTGAGGGCTAGGAAAGCCAGACCCCTGCCGCTTCCAAAGAATTGCCGGGGGTTGTGGATGAGACCATCTCTTGTTCCCATTTGTTTCTTCTCAGTCTGCTCAGAGAGACAAGATTCGGTGCAGATTTATCTCAGGCCTTGCACACCTGAGCTGTTGTTGACCCGCCTCCCTGATCTGCCACAAGCAGGCACAACTTGCCCCACCCCCACCCCATCTCAAACTTTCACGTACTTGTGTCAACACCGTTCATAGATCCGTAGCCCTCACACATGTATCCCCACGTCCATACCTGTACATTGTCATGCTTACTCTTGCTCACCTGTATGGTCCTACCCTCTCACACCTCCCTGCCTAAGCCCTGTGCCCAGGCTCACATGTGTGACCCAGTTCACAGCTACACATGCCTTTGTGCATCCCCTCTGTTCGGTCCTCTGGTGCACACGTGCCTACACCTCCCTGTATGTGTGCACACTTGCTATAGAGCGCAGGCTCATCTTGCCCGGACCTTCAGGTCTCTGAACCCCTGACCTGTTGGCTTTTTTGTGTTGCAGTCCCCCCACGAGCTGGATGATAGCGGCAGTGAGTCCAGTGGCCTCCAGCTGGAGGGCCCCAATTTCCTCAAGGCATCGAGTGAGAGTCTCGCTGACCCCCAAGCGGAAGACAGGCCTCTGGTATTCTTTGACCTCAAGATCGACAATGAAAGTGGGTTCTCCATGAGCTGTGCCACTTCTTTCTGTCTTAGTCTCTCAGTACCCAGGAAAAGTGCAGGTAGAGACACCCGTAAGGTTCCAGCAGCCCTTAGCCCTGGCAGGTCATGACAGCCAGGTGGACGGAGGACTCTGACCCCCGCCCCCATGCCTGAAGTTCCTGCGTCTGCCTGCAGTGGAACTTGGCCGTGAGAGGGAGACATGTAAGGCCACAGGTTCACTTCTGGCAAGACCTCTACACAAAGAGGCTGGGAGCCGTGTGTGAGCTCATTGCTGACAAGTAATCCACCCTTGAGCTTAGGCTGTGATCACACGTTTCCCAAAACAGGCCCCATCCCACAAATGGATACATACACAAGGGAGGCCTGCAGAACCTAGGCCACAGGGAGCTGTGACTCCTCCTCCTCCTCCTGGGAGCCCCTTGTCTTCCTCGCTGTCATCCTTGCCTGGCCCCTCAGCTCTGACCCTTTGCCCTGGCCAATAGTTATGGGCCCTACCATTGTGGCTAGCTTCCCAGCCAGAAGCATTAAGTATTTGCATAGAACAAAAAAGCCATCTGTAGGCTTCAGGGGGAGATTCCGGGCCATGCTCTTAGGGAGGGGCTACACAGGCCATTTCTGCTGTCTGCAGCCCTGGGCTCTGATCCAGCTGGGACTGATGGGCTTGGAGGTAGGAGCAGGAGAATAGAAACACTGTGGTGTCTCTGGTGGAGGTGGAGGCTGAGAAAACACAAAAGGGGCAGAGTTCTCAGGGTTGGGCATCGGTGACAGGTGACTTTCTGACAGGTGAGTACCCCGACCCCTCTCTCCCATCAGAGCCAGGCAAGAATTATATACGGAGGATATTTGGTTCCTTCCGGCAGGCCTCAATGTGGGTTCCCTAGGTAGTGGGTCAGCAGCCTGACTGACCCCTTGCACCCACCCCAGTGCCTCCTGAGCCCTGGAACCTCACCCTGCCCCTCTTTCCTGCCTAGCCCAGAAAATTAGCCAACTGGCAGCCGTGAACCAGGAAAGCAAGTTCCGAGTACTCATTCAACCCGAGGCCTTCAGTGTCTACTCGAAGGCCGTCTCCCTGGAGGTCGGACTGCAGCACTTCCTCAACTTCCTCACCTCCATGCGCCGACCCATCTTGGCCTGCTCTAAGCTGTGGGGGCCTGGACTCCCCATCTTCTTCAAGGCCCTGAATGATATGAACAAGCAGTGGGAATTGCAGGTCTCCATCTCCGGTTTCTTGGCTGTGTTGCCTCTCATCCAGGAACGCATCCCAGGTGCCAGCAGCTTCAAACTTAGGAACCTGGCCAAGACCTACCTGGCCAGAAACATGAGTGAGCGGAGCGCCCTGGCTGCGGTGCTGGCCATGCGAGACTTGTGCTGCCTCCTGGAGGTCTCTCCAGGGCCGCAGCTGGACCAGCATGTCTACCCCTTCAGCAACTTGCAGTGCTTTGCTTCCCTGCAACCCTTAGTTCAGGCGAATGTCCTGCCCCGGCCCGAGGCCCGCCTCTTGGCCCTCCACAATGTGAGCTTCCTGGAGTTGCTGACCGCATACCGCAACAACCGACAAGAGGGCTTGAAGAGGTATGGTCGCTATCTGAGCCTGCAGACCTTCTCGTCGTCGGCGTCCACCCAGCTTGCTCAGTACCTCCAGGCTCTGAGCACCTACATGGAAGGACTGTTGGAAGGGTGTGACCCAGCCATGGCAGAGGGCAGCTCTGCTCCTTTCTCTAGCCAGAGCTTGGCCAAAAAGGCCTCCCAGCAGACCTGAAAGGAAGGGATGCCTGGCTTAGCAGGTGGCCACAGAGCGAGGAGCATCCCTGAGCCGGGCCCTACCCTGCACCGCATCCCCAGGTCTTAGTCTTCTATACAGAACCTGCTGTTTAGTTCAGGATAGGTGCCCTTTATCTGGGACCAAATGCTCTTTCTCTAAAATTCCTGCAGCAGTCGCCAAAGGCACCCCAGACCTAGCCCCTCCCTTGGAAACCAGACTCAGGAAGACTTGAGTAAAGAAGGCATGGCCTCTGGGCTCTCTGGTTGGCCCTCATATGGTCCCAGTCACCTCACCTACCACTACCACAGGGGCTTTGCAGCTCTTCCCTGATGCTCAATGTCCCAAGTGATCTCCTGATAAGTCCCCACAAATAACACCTTAAGAAAGAAGTTCTCAAATGTGGGTTGCAACTATTGGGAGACACCTATTTCTGATGGTCTTAGGAACCCCTAACCATAACTGTAATTTTGCTACTGAGCTGTGTCTCAGTTTCTAAGATCATCGGAAAGGCGTGTTTTCCCATGGTCGCGACCCACGGCTTGAGAACCCCTGCTCTAAGGCATTGCTTACCACTATACCAGCAGCCTATGGGCACCCAAAGTGCCTTTCAAACCAAACTGCCCTTCATGAATTTGGGTTCTCCCAGCTCCCACTGGCCAGAGGCCCAACTGTGTTCACTTTTATTTATTTTTAACACTTTCATTCCAAAGGGGCCTCCTAGCAGCAGAGAGAACGAGAGCTGCTGCCCCATCCATCCCTGTCCCTGCTTCTACAGACGATTGACCCTTCCAGCTTTGTTCTTTGTTCACGGGCCACCTAGCCCCTCCTTGCGTTCAGCCCTTCCAAGGGACACCCAGTGGGGCACTTGCATCTAGATCTTGGGAAGGTGAACCTGTGGGCATTACTCAAGGTCCCCAGAATCAGGTTCTCTGGAGTATTCTCTGGGCCTGCAGCATTAGCAGGTTCTCCAGGTGGCTCTATATACTGAGTGTCACTGCTGTCACAGGCCACCTCCCCTCAAAGGGAAGTAGAGGAAGTCCCTGGCTGCGTACATTGAATATGGTTAGGAAAAGGTCAGAGCTCCGCTCCGGTGTTCTGTGAAATGGGCTGGCTAGCCTGTATTATTATCTCAGAGTCCCTAGCCAGCTCTATCATCCTGGGCTCTCAGGCATGGGCAGCAGCTTGCTGGGGCCACAGATAAGAAGCATCCTCAGCCTTGGACCCAACTCTCATGCCAAGCCTTTGGTCCCCAAACCTTATGGTCATCTTGAAGGTCAGCCTTTCTCTATGGCTAGCTGAACTGCTGCTGGCATTTTTCCACCTCCTCACCCTGACCCATTCCCTGCTTCCTGCTCCTAGGGTATTTCCCAGATAGCCCAGAGGTCCAGTCTTGACAGTCTCCACCTTCATGTGGGTGATGCCTGCATCCCCACACCTCTGACCCATCCTATGGGTGACCCAGTGTTCTAAGGCATTCTGTAGAAGCTCATCCACACCAGGTGAGGCTGAACTCTGACAGCCATCCACTAGAGCACTGGTTTAGGTGGGGCTGAGGATGGGAGAGGAAGAGAGGCTAAGTCTATCGCCTGGCTGTAGAGGCCAGGCAGTGCTGGGGCCATGTCTCACCCTCAACCCTCAACCTATCCCTGATCTAAACAGAGCTCACTGAGTCCCAGCCACACCAGGCTGGCTGTCTTCAGTTGCAGCTGATCATGGATTGATGACAAAGGGAAGAAGGTATGGCCCTGTCCTATCTGCCATTACAGCAGTTAGTATGTGAAGTTTTTTTTCTTGGTTTTCGGAGGCAGGGTTTCTCAGTGTGGCCCTGGCTTTTCTGGAACTCACTCTGTAGACCAGGCTGGCCTCGAACTCGGAGATCCACCTGCCCCTGCCCCTGCCCCACAATTGCTGCGATTAAAGGTTTGCCTGGCAAATATATGCTTCTCCAAAGCCTAACGTTCCAATCACAGACTACACCCAGACTTCCTTTCCTGGATCCATCGAGCCTGCTCTTCCATGGGGACAAGAGGCCCTCCCAGGCATAGGTGAGCAGGTAATTGCCCAACTTGACTCGGGGAAATCTTTCTGAGTCTGGCAGAGCTGAGCACGCCCTTGTTCAGAGATAACGGCGCTAAGGTTATAAATCCTCTATTTCAAGTAGGGAAACCCAGGCGGACTTTCCACGGGGTCATTCCCAAGGGTGAGAGGCACCAACTTTGAGAACTCCCTTCTAAGGTGAGGTGGGGGCCAGAGACCAGGACCTGTGGACCCTTTGCTTCTGGGACCTCTCCTGTTTTCAAGTTTCTAGAGCGGGCAATAAAATCCTATAAACTGAAATCGAGGCGCAGCGCCGGACGCTGGCAATGTGTTTGTGCAGTGTCGTTGATATCCTGGGTGGAACTTAACTTGTAACTTTCAAGGCTCAGTGCACAGCATTCTAGTGCCCCTCGGCTGGGTGAAGAGCCAGGCTGAAGAGCCAGGCGACAGCAGCAGCATTATTAGACCCACTTCCTGTCCAGGTGCCCCAGTTCCGTTGCTGGAGCTCTGTTTGGCCCTTTGACCAAAAAATATCAAAGTTTAAGTATACTGTGTATGCTTCATTTTAAAATTCTGTCAAGATTTACCCTACCACCACTACTAACAACCAAGACCTCATTGGACTACAAGTTAGGACACTGGAATTCAGTTCCTGCGAGCTTGTGGCCCTGAGCTGGCACTGTTAACTCCCTGGTTCCCAGGCTACTCCTTTGTAAATGAGATGATATGTATTGTATTTTAATGTTGATGGAGGCCGCTTGCTCGTTTCCCAGCTGCTCAGACTCTTGAAATAATCACACAGAAATATGTATTAATTAAAACACTGCTTGGCCCATAGCTTAAGCATATTTTTAGCTAGTTCTTATATCTTTTTTTTAAGATTTATTTATTTATTATGTATACAGTATTGTGTCTGCCTTCAGGCCAGAAGAGGGCACCAGATCTCATTACAGATGGTTGTGAGCCACCATGTGGTTGCTGGGAATTGAACTCAGGACCTTTGGAAGAGCAGGCAATGCTCTTAACCACTGAGCCATCTCTCCAGCCCTAGTTCTTATATCTTAAATTAACCCATTTCTATTATTTTACATTTTACCACGAGGCTCGTGGCCTACCAGCAAAGTTCAGCTGGCAGCTGGCATCTTTCTCCTCTGGCGGCTACATGGTATCTCCCTAACTCCACCTTCTTTCTCCCAGCATTCAGTTTAGTTTTCCTGCCTAACTCTATTCTGCCCTATCACAGGCCAAAGCAGATTCTTTATTCATCAACCCATAAAACTAACACATATACAGGACTTCCCACGTCATTTTTACTTTATGAGATCTTTGCTAGAATCAATGAGAAGATCAGTGTTCTGGTCTTAAGGTCTTAATTCGCTAACACACAAGATGAGAGCTACCACTTTTTAAGAAAACCAACAGCAAATGTTAGCAAAATAATAATATTAATACACACTATTTTGGGGGAGGGGGCCTAAGTCTGTGGGAGCCAATAAGAGTCAGGTGCCACCTTGTAGCCTCTGAGCAGTAGTTGGCTCCGTGTTCCTAACACACCCAATGGGAGAAAGGCCTGGAATAGAGAACAGGCTTCCCAGAGCCACTTGGTTTATCTCTGTCCCGCCGCCCCTCTTTGGGGAACCAAAATCTAGCTAGTTCAAGTTCTTGTGAATGTTCCTTGAAAGTCTGCTTAGCCCAGCCCCAGCCATGTTTCTCCAGCCTGCACAACACCCAGATGCTACCCAAGTGCTGCTGTTCTGCCACCCTGGACCTCATCATCCCACCTTTATAGCCTAACCTCTCAGCAGAACCCCCAGATCTTCTGAGACGCCCCCACTCACCGCACATCAGGTTTGTCCAACTTCTCCGAATTCAGGGTCTCTGTCTCACATTGCACCCTTATTCTCTGTTAAGGGAATGGCACAGCTAGTTTGTGTAGGGTTCCCGGCTGTGACGCCCTAAACATTAAGTCAGGACACTGAACAAGCTCAGGTAGGAGCCAAGCTCACGTTACTCCCACATTCTGTCAGCAGAGGGCGCCACAGCCCACATGTCTGCCCAGAGGTTGCTGTTTGGGGACCATTGCGCACAGCACTCCCGAGGTTAGTGTCCTACCCTTAAATTATGCCAACCCTTGGTAGAGTGCTGAGTATTCTTCTGGGACTCCAGGAGGCAGCTTTAGGCAGCTGACCCATGGAAAACAATTTTCCAATGTTGAGCATTTTATATTTATTTGGTGCATACATATCTGAAATGATATTACCAATCTTGCTGATTTCTGAGGTACAGTCTCAGAATGGCACTAACATGAAATTCTTTAAAGGTCTACTTATCATCAATATCAAGCAACTATAAGCCCAGCAGGGACACAAGCACAGCAAGCCTGTGAATGTGGAAGCATATGGTCTCAGTTTGGGGAGATGTTGGGTAATCGGTGAAATAAAGGTGAAGACTATGTTAGGGGCATGGGTTAAGCTAGCTGTCTGGGGGCATGGAGGCTTGACCTACAGTCCAGCTGAGGGTAGATGGTAAGGTGTGGGCTTAGATCAGACTCAGGGTCACACTTGAAAGGAAGGTTGGAAGTGAAGTCAATCATGCTTTAGTCTCCAGGTCCTTGTGACTTTAGCAACCGGGAAGTTCTTGAAGCTTCTGAGTCAACATGGCACCCCAGTGCATGCTGAATCCCTTTCTGGATTTTAGAAATCACTCTTTTAGAAGCGATCAGATGGGCCTCTGCTGCAGCTCACTGAACCCCAGTGGGGTCAAGTCCCACCCCTCATGGGAGAGACTGAGGCACATGCAGATCTCACTAGGCCCAGGATGTCCAGGTGAGCAGTCCTCCCAGCTCTCACACTGGGAGGGAGACCACATGCCAGACACGCCTTAGCCAGTGGTGTACACAACTTCACCGCCTCCCAGACACACTCTCTCATTACACCTTTGCCTTCATCCTAGCTATGAACACAGTGAACAGCAAGGCCAGCTCTCTTGCCTATGGCAGAAGTAGAATTGATTCCCACAGGAAGCCCACGTCTAGTATCATTTGTGACCCCCCCACACACACCCTCCCCACTGCACAGGGTACCTGGCCTGAGCTTAGGAGTAGATTTCCTGTCTCCTTCAGTGGGCTCTGGTTGTCCAGTCTCAGGTGATGGAAAATGCTGGGATTTTGAAGCTACGGTCTCCCTCAAGCTTCTGGTCCCACTGCTCAAGTTTATCCTAATTCTAATCTTTTAAAATTTTAGGGCAGCGTCTCTCATCCTCTTTGTTTCATTACCACCAGCCCCTGAGGAATCTTCTAAGATAATTTGTGTCCTACTTCCCCATTCTTCCAGCTGAAGCTTTCATGCACGGTGTGCTGGGCCTTCTCCAGGGCCTTGCAGATTTGTGGCCTCTGACAGGAGGGTTAGGAAGCTGTGCCTACAGGGGGCAGCTAGTTGTTGGCCCTTGTTAGGGATGTGCAGTTTCTGGAGAGGCCCCCTCTCCAGTTATAGCGCAAGTGAGAAGTGGTAGTGGGGTGCTGAGCCTTCTGTGGGGGTGGGAACATCCAGAGAGAAAGGAAAGAAGATATGGATGAGGTCCCTGGGACACATTCCCCCCGCCCCCCAGCATAACCAAAGTCCTACCTGACGGCCATGCTGAGCCTGGGGCTCCCGAATGATAGGCAGGGCTATCATTTGCTTTGGTGACTCCTGACCCACTGGTCCTGAGTGAAGAAGATGCCTGGGGAGAGGTCTAGAATTTCCACTCACCATTCTCATCGCCCCCCCCACACACACACACATGCACTCACGCACACACACACACAACCCTGGAAGTTTGGAAGTTCCTATCCAATTGTACAAAATGTGTTTGTTGTCAAACGAGGGGAAAATTCCTTCACTCTTGGCTCAAGGAACTTCCTTAAATTCAGCTCACAGGAATTCTCTCCAAGCCCAGCTGCCTGGAGTACAATGCAGTTCGTACATGTTATAAATATCCCCAACTCAATAGCCAGGCAGATTACAAGCCAGCTAGCTAACCACAAAAAAAAAAATCCCAAAAGCCAGCCAGTCAGACCAGTGTGGTAAGACCAGGATGAGACGGGGGCATCTGTTTATCTAAAACAGCACCGTTGTGTGCAACTTAAGGGCAACACAAAGTACTGCACACCTCCTAAGGCTTTAAACAAACGCTAACCTTTAGCAAATCAGCAACACAACACAATGAGGCACCCACCTCCCTTCTCAGTAAAGAAGCCTGCGTGCATGCTGACTCCCAGAACAAGCTTTTGTGCCTCCCCCCAACGCCCCTCCTCTTTCCATCCCCTCTCCCCTCTCTTCCCTTGTTATAGTCCCCTCTTTCCGTGTCCCAGTTTAGAATCTAGGCGGTTCTATCACCAGTTTTCCAAGTCCCCACGACAATGTCCTCTACCCTGCCGGGGTCACCCCCTTGGTGGCAGGCTGGAGGGATTTATAGCAGCCCTCGCCTCCCTTGGGCCCCCACCTGGCTAGCAGACAGCCATCTGCAGGAAGGTCACTTTCTCACAGTGCCGGCAGACTTGTGGGTTGGACGGAGCCCCACCCCCTTACACACATCAGAGCAAATAAATACATCGAGTTTGCAGCTGGGTCTGGAGATAAGGACCGAGGGAGATGAGGCACACGTGCTCACATGATAGCTACACAAGAGCTTCCGCTTTCCAGCCCCTTGCGGTCTTCCCAGCAAAGCTTATTTGGGGCATTTGAAAGTGGAATTGTGGAATATTGTGCCTGGGGGTGGGGTTGTCTCCTGGGGAATGATGAGGCTGAGAGACGCTCCTAAGCTTGGATCTTGTAGGGACTGACCCAAAGAAAGAGGGCCTGTTCAGGCCAACAGGTAGAAGAAATACTTAGCACAGGAGGGGAAACTGAGGCCCAGAAGGGAGACCGATTTTCCCAAAGCCTCACAGGAGTTTAGCAAGAAATAAGTCGAACCTGTGAAGCCCTGATCTTCCTTGATGGTGAACTATGCCTGGTTGTCCTCAGGGTGCGACTACTGAAGCCAACCTTGCCTGGCTGCGGAACTGGCATGGTCTGTAACAATGCCCACCCTTCGCCAAGAAGCCTTTCCTTCCACAGCCAGCCTGCCAGCCAGCGACCTGACTGGAGTTCTCCCCTGTGAGGTCCAACTTGACATTAGGCTCCCCAATAAGTCTTCAACAGTGGTCATGGCTCTGGTCCCGGCGCTCTTGAACTGTGGAGGGGAGAATTGGGACCATGAAGGAGGGGCACCTTTCAGAGGCCGAGGCAGCCTCCTTTTCCCCTGGAGAGGCCTCATCTGTG